TAAAGATTAACTTGACGAGTCTGAGTTATACACAAAGGATGGCTTACCCAGAGACGAAATTAGGGCTTTTTCAGCAATGGGGTACTTCTTTTTTTATTTTTATAAGTGACATAGATTTGAGAACGGTTTGATTTATACTTTGAAGAAAGATATTTTGTAAAATAATAAACCAAAGTATCAGAAACATTCGTGACAGAAGCAGTCCCCTCGATCGATATTTCCAATAAGAATGGTTATAATGATTCCCCGAGTGCCGCGCAGCACATCTCACAAAGATGACAAGCTGGTTTTAATGATGTAGAACATTGCATAGTAACACAAACTTGTCCGTCTGCTAGTTCAGGAGTTGCTACGACTTTTCCAAACCCAATTACGTTGCACTTATGAACGTAGATCGATATAGAATACCCGCCGCGCCGAGCCACAACGGAGTCCCAACATGTGGGCTTTGTGCTCAAAATGTGAGTAAAATTTGAGCTGCAAAGATGTTCTGTAAGCGTATTCTACTCCTCATGTCTGCTCTCTTACAGTACAACTTCCTTCTAGAGTAGCAAATATCAATGTAGTTCTTACCTTTCGTGAAAAAAAAAAAACCGTGCATTTGGTGCCAAACGCTGATTAAGTACCCAAGCGTATCTGTCTCAGTTCTTAAACTAGTTGGAAGCTCATTCAATCATTTGACTTGTGGTTGCACATGACAGTTCCATTAGATCAGGTGCCTGAACAAAACGAAAATAACGCTTGGCTTTGCGATATGCATACCAGGACTTGAAAGTCGACATACATCTCATCGCCTCAAATTTGTGCTGTCGACTACACATTACCCAACTGACACAGTAACTGATAAAGCCTCTAACTTAAACCATCCCCCACTTACTAGAGATGAATGCGGTCGGCCGATAAAGATGTTAGATCTAACCAGTCGTTAACAACATCGGCGTCAGGGCATCCTAGCACAAATGAAACTTCAAAGCCCCATGAAATTACTAAACGTCACCAGTTACTGATCCCGGCACAAGTGAAAGCACTTCTTACTTTCTGCTTTACATGCAAGAAGGTAATTTCTTGACAAATAATTAAACGGCTAAACCTATCCTCCAGAAATTAGCTCTCTCAAGTATGACGACACTTCGAGTCTCATCAAGAGGATCAGAGAATAACATGATCAATATTTGATTTCATACAACATCGAATAGAGTGGCTTGAGAAAAAAACATGAACAATGTCTAGTACATCCCGTGCTTGCAATATCTTCGGGATCGTTATAATTTAGCTTCAATTCCTTTCGGCTAAGGCCAAAACCACTTCAAAGTAGTAGGATTGCAGGTTTTGTTTCATAGACAACAGACACTGCATTTGAGGGGAGGTATGTCATTTCTAACGAAATCTTGGTTGGTAGAATTAGTGCATACGAGGTCCTACCGGGATTTGAGCCCGTATCGCTGGATTCAGAGTCCAGAGTGTTAACCATTACACCATAAGATCTTGAGTAATCTGGCTCCTAGCGACAGCGATACGGAATCGACACAGAACGCTCAAGCTCGCCGTTATCATTCCTTTTATTTTCTAACGAGTAGACGGGCCGACATCTCAAAGCCAAATTGTATCGCCAGGCTTCCTTCACCAAGACCGAGCGTCACTTCGTGGTTCTGCAAAGAATGCATATGATCGAGTTTGAATAAAATGAAATGTAGCATATTAAAGCGTGTAATGTATTGTTCAGTGCGGCTTCGACAAGCAACCTGAAGCTGATTCAGCATTGTGGTATCCGTCCAGTCCCAGTTTTTAAAATGCATACTTCAACAAGCAATCTTTGGAAGCCATTAGATTTGTGCGGATGGCCAGCGGTGGACTTGTCCAACCTAATGCCAAACGCTTTAGAACGACCAAAACGTTTTTATCAATAAGCACTGAACTCTATCCAAAACGTTCGCCTTCGACTAGCTCGTTATCTTTCGTTAGAACTTGCAGATAGCACCTTGCCCGAACCGATTACGCTACCGCTGACAACAGCAATCTAGGCTGTCTAACTCAGATGGTCTACAAAGACAACAAAATAAAACTACCGGATGTGAGTTTTGAAGAACCGGAGGGTGTTGAAAGGTTCTTGCGCACGAGACAAGGATTCTACCCGCTGACACAGTTCGAATAAGCACACGTTATTATCTTTTGTTCATACATACTGAGCAGACACAGCGTTCAATGAGCCATAAATTTTTTTATCCAGATGGCTACCGTAGAAGGCGCAATGTGACCAGTATTCCGGACTTGACGCACTTACCTTGACGTATCACCACAGGACGAGAATAGTTTGGCAACTTCAGGAGCACTGCAAGCCTTGATTAGGAGATTAAGGGCGCAATCGTGAAAACCAAAAAGCAGTATTCTAGTTAAACAGTTTTGTTTACTCTGGACAATGCAGCATATGCTATACACAACTAAATCGTCTTATCAATGGCGACATCGATATTGTGACATGCGACAATTCTACTTTGTACGACGCGATAGCGCGTACGCCACAAGATTAAGCCGATTGATTATGTACCTTTACCTTGGAGGCAAGAGAGATTCTCGATCCCTCCGACTACCCAGTCACTCCTTTCTCAAGTGTATAGCCGTTGCGACAAACCTGTTGAAATTCGAAGAATGACGCATTGCGCAGTAGTGCTGTCACAGCAAGACCGTTTCTTCGTAATCATTCTTCACAAGAGAAGGACCTGACCCGTTTTCTTGGGACCTATTGTTGCTCTTTAATACCACCAGTCACGTTACAAAATTATTTACCTCATTCTCCATCTCACCGGACCCTCACTCATCAGGTCATGAGCTGCGACTGCTCCTTGCCGTCACAACAGAGATGCACTTTGGAGACCGCAATATACAATCTTTTCATGCACATTCATGATACCGTGGTTTATTGCCGCTTCTCTCTTTGCTATGCTGAACGCGCTTACAAACATCATTGCTGGTCGATTCGAACAAGTCGATACTTAGCAACAAAACCTTGATGGGTAGTTGACTGTAGGTACTAAAACGTGAAATTGACTGTCATATTAATCGGACGATAACACTGCTACCTATTGAGATTTGAAGGTTGGTTATATTCTAGTCAAATTGGACGTTTAAATATCTAGAAATACCAATTCCCTATACCCCATTTGTGAGAGTATTTCAATACCAGCTCGTGTAACTTGATCTCTGTTCTTCTCGAGATTCACTTTAAGTCCAAAAAATATTCTTGGTATGTAAACTCACATTATAAATTTGTGTGTACCCCGTGGCAGGTAAATCCCGAGTCTGCTGCACAGAAGAAGACAGTAATATTATCTTAACTGGATGTTATTTCAAAATAATTCATGCCAGTGCAAGAAGGTGGAAGAGTGGACGATCGGCACGTTTTGACTAGGCGCCGAGATAATTTATTTGTCACTCAGGCAAACCTAATCACAACACGGTGCTGACCGGACATGTTTAGGAAACTGTTTATACGATATTCTTGTGCAGTCATGCAATACAAGCGTGCACAAATTTGTCTGGCCGGAACAATACGATGTAAATGACTGCGGTGATACATACTAATGCGTTATTATTTTTACGAGATGGCCATTTGTATATAAAAAAAACTTTGTTTGACACTTGTGTGATCCAGCTTTCTGTCAGCGACCTCACAATAGATCATTCGCGTTATTAAAGATATCTATTAGGACTCAAAAGCACTTTTGCTGATCGCCAGCACGCCAAATGCGAGATCACACGGTTCCTTAAATTTTGAGCCCACTTTCCACCTCAAACTTTGTCCGCGCAAGCGTTAATCCCGAGGGTATTGTCTTCGAAAAGAATCTGTATTAATGCTGTTGTGTTTGCTGGTGCTGAAAGCTATGGAGTGTAGCTCAATAGGAAGCCAAATACACTTGATGCGGTCCATTGCATAGATAGCAGCTGTACTGCTGTGACGCCTAAAGCTTGTGTTAACTAAATATTGATTTAACATGTAGAAATAATATGAAGCGTGGGATGGCGGGGACAAATATTCTCCCCACCACGATGTCATTTAGGATAGGAATTATATTTGAAAAACTAGCTGTGACGAAAGCGTGGAGTATTAACGTCGATAAACATAAGTGATGTCAGCAGTGCAATCAGTGATTCTGACAATGAAAAATTAATGAGTACCCCGTCGAGCTGGCATTACTGAGCGAGGATTACTATTCTTTTTCAGCGCGAGGCGATACATGATTTTGTAGCCATGTAGAGACACTCTGCCACCATCCAAGCATTTTTGCGTTATACTAAACACTGGCTGTGCCGATTAAAATTAGTTAAAGGTGTATATGCCACCGCTTTATTAAAATTACATTTTACTACTCATTGTAACCAAAATCTGGCAGATCTTCTTTTCAAGTTACTATTTGAACAAGCGATTCTATACCGTACTTTCTGTTTTAACTTCAAATTAGCGTGTAAAGCTCAAAAGGCCTTTCGCATCATTCGTACCGAGTACTGCACTGTAAAAGTATTTTTTAAGGCATATCTTTATTCAGATTTTTTGACATTATTCTTTGCTTTGACAGAGTGACCGTCGGCAAATTTATGCAATTTGCCGGATCCGTAGCTTTCATTAGCAAAAGGCCATCCTCAATATTTAAGTGTTTTCCAACTAGCAAAACAATCCAATAAGTCGACCTCTTTGCATAGCACCAGGCAAGCACAGTTGTTGAGCTGCTTAAATGTGCTGGCTTCTTGAATATACGCGTCGTGGCTGAAGTCCGATCGCTGGACAGTATTACGTCAGGTGGCTCCAATGGCACCAAATATGGGTGTTATTTTGACCCTGGAGCAAAGTGTGGCCGAGTATTAGTGATGGTCTTCGACAAAAAGGCATGCTTACTGATGTCATCGACAGCATGAGTGATGCGTTTTATTGTTTTGTATCAAACATAAACATGGGTTGTCATATGCTTCCATAGAATAAGCTCTCAGAAATCAAATGTCGCTCAAGAATGACTAGACAACAAGGCAATTCCCCGTTCCGGAAATTCTTCGATGTTTGCACCTTCCCTTCTACCTCATCCCCGGATAAATGCACGCACCCTGATTCGCTCTCCAAAGTAGAGTGTGCTAAGCCATTTCGCTGCGAAATCACGAAAGTTTCAACCTTCTGTAGTAAGCTGGAGCGGGCTCAGCAAGCCGAGTTTGACATCTCAAGAACAGGAGTCATAGATATCTTCGAAGAAGCTCATTTTACAATTCTGCACTCTGTCACAAGGCTTATCAAAAGGCGCTCAGTGCACCGCAAACTTGCAGCTTAATCGGAAAGCAGAAGATGTGTCCAAAAGTGATTGGTAAGCCTTTCCCCATTCTCAGATCACCACAACTTTAGGACATCGCTAAATGTCTAGAATACAGGCGGTTAATACATCAGTGCCCTCGATAAAGATTTTACCCATGGTCCAAAACTCTGATGACTTTAGTTTGATTTAGATAGCTCAATTCGAGCACTAGGTGAATCCATTTGTGGCGACATTAAGCAGTTTCAGAGTCAATAGCGTTATACAACATCGTCGCGTAATTCGTAATTTAGCGAGATACAAAGCGCGAAGTTGTTATCGCGGTGTTCTGTTGCCTCAGTAATCGTTTGTGCCATCTTTAGTTTTGCGTCTATTATAAATGAGCTCGTACCGCTACTAGCTAAGTCTCGAAAATAAACAAAGCCCGGCCTCTTCCGCGAACGGGAATTGCGTTGCTCATCGCGACTCTGTTGTTTTGGAAGGAAATTTAAGAGTGTGGGTGTAAGTGTCAACGACGCAAAGCAATTTTGCATAGTTGGAAACTCAAAATTCCACGAGTTCTCGGTTTGAAGGTAGCATTTTCGCACCACACAACTATTTGTTGGTCCCGCTATAAAGACGACGAGTAGAAAACAAGTTACACGTGATTGGTCTGAGCTTCTTCTTAGTCGTTTTGACATGTCGACTATCGTTGAAAGTCGGGATAATACGGATTCCAGCCATATTTTAGACGACCCCACGAATCTGCGCAGTGATGCCAAGAAAGTCGGTAGGAACACGCCTCGTTTCTAAAAGGACGCTTTGCATCAGAGCCACCCATAAAAACATAGTAATGATACAGCATTGGTAAGCCTGCATACAGCACACAGCATTTTCAATACCATTTTATAATTCGAATCGGGTCTGAATCTCGTTTTTTCAAGAACAATCAGAGGTTCGGCACTCAATCAAAAGCCGCAGAGAATAGGCAAATTTTCGTTTTTCCGTAGCCTAATTCTGTGCCCTTAGTCTGCTTTTGACATGTGCATGCAACATCGGCATATCCAGGCTTTTAGCCATAGTGTCGTGCACTTGGCGCATCACTCTCAATCTTTTTGAGATCAATTTGTCTATTTAGCTTCATAGTGTGGCTCAATCAATATCTGCACTTCCCAGAAACGCATCTTGTAGATTTTATATCACGAAATTTTCATTGTTGGAAATGGTAAAACTCTAGTTGATTCGTTAACGATGTTCAGGATGTGTAACAACTTCCATTTCTAACGGCGCCAAGCGCTCCACGTCGCACGCAGCGACGCATTCGCCTGCTCCACGGCTCGGAGTCGCTCCGAAAGAGCGCGATAGTCCTCAACGCGAGGCAGCCGACGCACGACGGGCTTCAAATCGTCAAGGGCGTCCGCGCAGCGATATGCCGCTTCAGCATGACGCTCAGCGGAGCGCCGATCACGACATACCTCGTTCTCAAGGGCTCGAAAAGCATCACGAGCCACCGGGCAGCGGTCAACCAGGTCGTCACCTTCCGCCACCGACCCCTCTCGATCAGAGCGGTGACGTTCACTATCAGCTGAAACGTCTAGTACGACGACGTCGTCACCACGGTAAGACCCAATATCTTGTGAAGTGACGGA